GCAGATCACCTCTAAGTTATTGATGGTGGTGCTGGTGGGTAAATCATTTTCTGTGTCTGAGGAAGCAAATATCTGTTCCCCAGGGCAGAAGTCATGCAAAAACCAGGACTGGATTGGCTTGCAGTCCTTGGGATGGGTTGTGGCTCCAGAGACCTTTCCACAAGGCAACAGCACCCATTCTTCAGGCCCAAATTCTGACTGATAGTCAGGGTGCACAGCAATGCTATGGCATACGTCATCCTGCCCAGGGCAAAAATGTAGAGGAGCATACCCTTTTCCAACATTGCGTAGTGCTTGCTGCCGGCCATACATGCGGTGCAGAGCTAGACACTCCCCCTGCACTGTAGGTTATGTAATCATGTCCCCTTGGGCAAGGCAAAGCTCCTTATTTTCACCATGGCATGAAGGGCTTGATCCTGTTTTGCTGTTGAGATGTCCAAATAGCATTTATGCAGCTTTCAGACATGTAAAGTCAGTCAATGCAGCTCCATTTTGCCCCATGCAACAGCCTGAATTCTGCTAAGATGTCTCCTCCTTACTCCATCAGAATAAATTGAAGCCTCCTCAATAAGAGGATGAATAGTCATAGAAAATAAGGGCTGGAAGGGAGCTCAGGAGGTCACATCTAGTCCAACCCCCTGCTCAAAGCAGGACCAGCCCCAACTGCATCATCCCAGCCAAGGCTTTGTCTACCTGGGTCTTAAACACCTCCAAGGATGAAGACTCAACAACCTCCCTGGGTAACCTGTTCCAATGTTTTACTACCTTCCTCATGAGAGTTTGTCCTAATATCCAACCTCAGCTTCCCTTGCTGCAGCTTGAGCCCATTGCTCCTTGTCCTCTCATCTGCCACCACTGAGAACAGAACAGCTCCATCCGCTTTGCAATCGCCCTTCAGTAGCTCCGTGCCACCCTGGGTGAAACAGAATCTTGTCTCTAGCTGTGCATAAAGATGCCCATTGATGAGAGAACACCATGATTCTGCAGGCTTCACTCCTGGGGGTGCACGAGTCCTGAGCCTGGCTGCATTGTCTTGAAGCAAACACAAGCCAAGTTAGGGATGCTGTAGAGCTATTCACACTGCAGCAGCTGCATGCTATGGCCAAATCAGCCCAGTGCCAACTCCAGGCTATCAATGCCACAGGTAGATGCCACACCCCAGAGCACGCTGGTGGAGCCGTTCCAGCTCATGCTCACAGGCTGCTGACAGACATGCAGGCCCCCGCGCTAACTCATCGTGCTTTATATAACGCGCTGTGAGTTCAACCACTGCCCTAAACAGAGATTTGCCTGCTGGGTTGGAGGGGAGGGGGGAAAAAAATCAAGCCTGCCTGCAGGAGCCCGAGGACCCTGCCTGCAGCCGAGAAGCCACCTCTCTCTCCCACCCCGTCCCCGCTCCCAGCTCTGGGGCTGAAAGCAGGAAAGGAAGGAGGAGGGGAACCAAGCAGCCAACTGGGTATGCCCAGCCTAAGCTGGAGAGGAAGTGGGGCTGGGGGGCTACTAGGCGGGGTGCTCCAATCCACCCTGCCCCCCTCCAGCTCAGGCCAAGCAAACCCCAGCTGGCAGCTCACTTCCCCTCTCCCCTCCCTTCCTGCTGATAGCCTGGGTGGCAGAGCTGGACTACATCAGCCCAGCTCTGATGGTGCCACAAATTAACCCTGGGAAGACGAGCTCTCTAAGGTGCTCCGAAGTGGAGTGCCTTCATCTGATCTCTCATTTGACAAGGGTTAGTTTGTCACGTGATTGGACACTTTAAAAGCGCTCTGCAGCCATGCACGTGTGTCATGGCATGGCTGTAGAGTGCTTTCAGGGGGGTCGATCGTGCGACAAACGTAACTTCTATCCTGAGACCTGTTACACCAGAGGCTGACTGCGCTGACTGCAACAGGAAAATACTAGAGCAAGTCTTCTGTGGCAAAGAGCTCAGAACGCTTTTCACTCTGGATTCCTATTTGAAATCTCTGGTGTTTTATCTTGTGAATCGTGTTTTCACACTTAACAGTGCTAATAATGTGTGGCACTCCACAACACCCTAAAAGGATCTCAAGGCACCCCAGACCCCCTGGTTGACAATCACTGCTTTAGTTGCAAAGTGAAATGAAATCTTTTTTAAATTAAATCTTCATATTTTCCCAAGCAGGAAGCAACTGTGACCATGTGAAACCTAAGATCCTTCTCCTGCCTTTGTTTCAAGGCAACTTGCATCATCACAGATCCTCATGGGAGGTGAGAGGCTCCAGACCAGCTATGAACTGACTGCCCAGAGGAGACTTCCATCTATTGACTCTTTTGTGAAATCCTATGAAATATGAACTTTCATTTCTACCCAGGAGAACTTTTACAATCTTTTCTGCAATGCCCAATGAAGGGTGTTTGTGCCCGAAAGTTTGCAATTAAAGTATTTTTTTCGCAAAAATCTTGTTGGTCTAATAAAAGATATCATCTCTACTGTGAGTCCTGATCGCCTTTAGATGCAAAATGAAATCTAAGCAAAGTGGCCTGGACTGCCTAAGGCTGCAGGTCCAGCCTGAATTACCAGAGACCTCAGAGGGAGGGGAGAAGCTGGTTGATCAAGCTTTAAACGAGCTTCCCCAGTGCTTAGAACCCAATTACAAACTAATAAAATACCTGTCACCAGGCGACAGGAGCCCCAGCCTTACTCAGAGACCACTATAAAACATCCCTGCTCCCTTCCTACTCCCCTCACTAAATCTCAAGCACAAGACAATGAGACGACAGGATTTAGCAATCACAATGTGCCTGCTAAGTTTACTTTATCTTCCAGCACGCAGGCATGATCACTCCTGCTTCCCGGGAAGGAGGGCACAAAGGTTAGCATATAATTTGACAAAACAGATGAACAAAGTGGCTTGTAGACTTCCGTGGGGAGGGAGGGCCATCAGTTAGAGACATCGAGAGCTGACATTTCAGCAAAGCAACCTAGTTGTTTCCTGCTAGCTTCTTAGTCCTGGTTTGAATGTTAGCAGCCTCCATAGTAAACAGCTACTTGGTACAATGAGCACACTAATGTTACATGGAAGCAAAACAACTTCTGGCTTTCCCTGAAGCCAACATTAATTTACACACACCAGGGATGCCATTTTCACAGCAATTTGCCAACAGGTTTATTAATCTGCTCACTGAGAAACATTAAACTAAGTGTTCGCTTTACAAGAATGGTTTAGTACATACTTAATGCCAACAGGCACCTTTGCAAACCTGTCCTTGCTAGAAAATAAAACCTGCTTGGCTGTTGCTTGCATTTTATGGAAAGCCTTCTGTGTTTCTCTTTGACAAGTTCCTTAGATAGAAAAAGGAATCACTTATATGGCAACAAGCACAAGCCCATGTGCCTAGGTTAATGAGAAACATCTTGCTGTCCAAACTGATACGCCTTTCTTACAGTGGGAAAATGAGCCGTTGCTGACATTGAGAGTTGACAAGTGCAGCTGAACTGGTTTTGAACTCAGCTGAGCTGTAGGTGCAAACAAAGAGACGCTGCACCCTGCACTGGTTCAGAAACCATGGTTAAACCTGGCTTCATGTGTGTGAGGATTTATCTGCCCAGGGTTCATTTCATTGTGTAGGAAAGGCCGTAGGACGCTAGAGCCACAAAGCAGAGGAGTAGTATTCCAGATGAGCTGAAGTTGTAGCCCTGCCTGCTAATACTTTACTCACCTTAATGCCACTCATCAGCGAGCAACATCTTCTGTTGGACTTTTTAAAATCAATTTTCTGAACCTATGTGTTGTTGGCCACTTGTTAGAGAGCCCCTGGGTTCTCTATTCCCAGTCCTGCCACTGACTTAGCACAGGTCCAGAAGGAAGTTGCGTAAGACCAGTTTTTCCAAGAACCTCACAATTAGTTGCTTTGCTCGAACCATTTGGAGCCTGATTATCAGAGTGCCTGACACTCCATTAACTTCAATTTGAGCTGGGGGTGAAAATATCAGCACTAACGTTCTGTGCTTTCACATTCCCACCTCCAGAATGGGTCCGTTATTACTTACTGTACCTCACAGGAATGATGTGAGGCTTGATTGCCTGCTGGGCACTTTGAGATGAAGGATGTTATGAAAGCACAACGAATATTATTGCTTTTTTATTAACACAGATGCATCAAGAGTGTAATGACTTAGCCACATGCAGTTGTTTAATACATGTTGAACGCCTTATGAATCTATTCATGAGCACACAGATACAGGGAAAATGGGTCAAGGGCACCTTTAATTTTGACTCCAATTAAGTCAAATGGATCACCTTGAAACCCACTGTGTACATACCTGAGGGCAAATCAGCTACAGGAATCACAGTTCAATCCAAGGAATTGGAGGGGTCCATCCATTCACAGCTGGAGACCCAAAGACAAGAGCAAGGAGAGTAAAGCAGTAGGATCAGGCTGGCCACTGACACAAAGGCTCAAGTTGCCAGGATGAGAGGTCAGAAAGCAATCACACATCAAAGTCTGAGAAGGCAGAGGCATGATGGGGCCAGAGGGATGGTAGGTAACAGCCATCTGGAGAAGAAGAGAGAAGAAATGATCAAAAGCCATTTGAAGATGGAGCAGATGTTGGATATGAGGGTGGGACTGGGAACGACAGGAGCGAAGAGGGGAAACCTGACAATGACAGGGCAACTTTCTGAGCCAGGGCAATGGGCCCAGAAAGAAAGCCTGGCTATGAGAGGAGAAGAACAAGTTGAGGGGTTGCGAGGAGATGGAGAAAAAGTGGAGCTCCGGAGAAATGAGGGAGGTCTGGAGAGATGCGGAGCAAAGGGACGGCGGCGGATGCACAGGATGAGGGAAAGCCGCAGGGAGGCAGCAGACAGAAACAAGACACAGCGCGAGGAGGCAGCACTGCAGCCAGCAGCCAGCTGCGCTTCCTGCATTGACACTTGGCAGAGAAAGGAGGGGCGCAAGGGAGGATTAGAGACTCAGGACCTTTGATACACGTTTTCAAGAGAAACCCACTAGCCAGAACAGGGTACCAGCCCTTGACTCACCAACTCATTTCTCATGGGCCACCAGGCATCAGCGAGGGGCAAGTGTGGGTCCTGAGCCTGCAGGAAGCTCTGTTCAGGCACAGACATCGCGTCCCTACTCACAACTGACATAGGCTGGACTTGAGCCAATAACCTAAGCCCCCACAGCAGGACCATCAAAACTGGCAGGCAGGAGGCATAAACAGGAAAGCCTATCACACAGGCTGCAGTGATTTACAAGGAAATGATTCTGCTGAAGGTTACCTGAGACGGCATAAAAGCCAGAGAAAGAACTTCAACTGTTTGCAAGATCTCAAGAATCCCAAGATGAAATGACTGTTAGTGCAGCACATTTCTGAGACTTTTCAAACGACATATGGATCGGAGACTTTGCACTTCAAAAGAGTGAAAGTAATGACAATATTTATTAGCATAACAAAAGTGCTAGCAATGATTGAAAACACAGAAACTGCACCTGTAAAAATGAAAGGAAGGGATCGCTGTCACAGCCAGCCTGAGTTTAAAAGGGATTTTGAATTATTCAGAGTATGATTATTAATTATTTTCATAACTTTAGCATAAACATCCCTATTATCTGGTACTGAGGGTGATCCCCAAATTATGAATTTCTGGATAATAGAGTCCTTTGGGACCTGATAATCACCAGCTCTTAATATTGAGTGCATCAGAAATGTCAGAGATAAGTACTCTGTTATCCAGGAAGTTCCTCTTCTCCACACACAATGAAGGCAGCAGCAGGTGTGCTGTGCAGGGGGTAGAGGCTCATGTGGCATGTCACTGGTTACCAGAATCAAAGACCTTGTGGACTTGTGTCAGCAAGTCTGCATGAAGCTCATGGCCCTTGCTGAGTGCTCAGTGTTGCCTACCCCCTGCGTCTCCCTCTCATCATCATGCAAAAGGCTCTTCTCTGCCTACCTTTGTGCCCTGGTCCTGCGGGGTTTGTCATCAGGTCCCTGCCCTGCAAGCACTGGCCACCTCCAGTGCAACACCCAATAGGTGCATTGCCATCCAGCCACACCTACTCAAATCATGTCTCAGTAATATCTTTCCAGGCTCATCTCCTCACCATCATGTCCTTTTAGTACCCTTGGAGCAAGGGCCAGTGGCAGGCCATTCTTTACTCCACCCCAATTCTGCAACTCAACAAAAGAGCATAAGCTGACGGCTCCTCAATGGAGCCATGAGCATGGCACTAGTATGGTATCATGGAGTCTGCTGCCACTTGCCTTTTTTTGGCAAGATAAAAATCTTGGCATACATTTGTGTAGAGGATACCAGGTTCCTGCTCAGATTCTGGCTGCATTAAGTAATAATTTGCAAACCCTCCATTTATGGACAAACACTATCACAAGATCTCCTGGCACTGGCCATGATGGCCATACAACAGACCAGAAAGAGGAAGCTCAGCAGAGGTTTTCTGTGATTATTGGTCATCCTTCTGCTTCCTCCTTATCTCAGATGTGCCAAGAGAATTCCTCTGGGCAACATCCACTGCCTCCCTGGATTACTTCACAGAGCAGTGTGCACTGCTCCAGCTTCTCTGATCACTATTCCCATCAGGCAGCCTTAGGCTGAACTTTTGGCCTTCACTCCTATCCCTGCTCTTTCACTTGCTGTCCCTGGTAATATGTTGTTTTTGAGGCTCTGTTACCTCTCTCCTCCATTGCAAAGACAGCATTTTTGTTCTCCATAGGCCAAAGCTCACCCTCCTGCAATCCAAATACGGTGAAATCAGCAGTAAAACTCCCAGTGATTTCAATGACACAGGTGTTGATATGTAAACCCTGGTCTGCAACACACTGCATGTAAACAAATTCTTTTGCTTGCAAAATGTCCAGTGAAGGCCACACAGTTCTGGGTGGGCTCAATGAGTTAAGTGAAAAACCAGGACTTTAGAAAACAAGTTTCTCAGGATAGGGTTGTCTTTGCCCACAGAGAAGAATCTAGATTAATGCAGGCAGAACCTAGTTTGGCTCTAGTTTGTGCCCAGTACAATACTGAACACATCACTGGCACATAATAAAGGTTGCACTCTACCATCTCTCCTCACCTTGGAGTATTATCTTACTTACTATTCAAGGGAAACAGTACCTCTGGCTACTCCCTAGATAATTTTCTGTCTGGTTTGAAGTCATATATTATAACTGCTGGGTGGCAATGGTGTAAAAACAATCATCGTAGGAACAGCAGCCGCCTGAAATGTAATCAGAGAAGGTGGAATTTTTTTTCTACATCTTGGAGAAGGAAGGTCAGAAGATTTATGAAAGTAGTGATGCCAAACTCCTGAAACCAGACCAGTGATGTGCAACAAACTGCAGGAGGTTTTGTGTGACAAAGCCTCTATAACTGATGGGAGCCAATGTCGCTAAAGACAAGAACAATCAAGCAGCACGTGTAGCCCAAGGAAAAGTGCTAACTCACCTCAATATCTTCAGCTAACTTTGAAGTTAAACTAGTCAGCTCCGTGCAGGGCTGAATGCCTTCAGCTTTCATTAACTTCAACAGGAGATGCAGAAGATGAGCAGTTTGCAGGATCAGTCTCCAAGCCTAAATCGACTGCATTGCTGTTATCGTTGCTAGTTTTCCTTCCGAAACTTTCTGTGCTTTCATCAGCAAATATTTTTTCCCTTTTTATGACATGCCAGAAGTGTTTCATTTAAAGGGACGTGGTTCAAAAGTTTAGATCCAAAATTTAGATACTGCAACATACAAGATCGAACATATAAAATACAATCTTGCTATGAAGCAGGGACAGGGCATTTGTAACCTGGGTGAAAACTGTTTGTCCTTCAAGCTCATTTGCAGGATTTTAACACCAACTGTTACAATATTTTGACTGTCTGAGAAGAGGGAAGGGAACCTGACTGAGGTTTTGATCCCGAACTGTGACGTGTGCCTGTACAAAGCCTCACTGAAGTTGACAGGACTCCAAGCAGCCCACGTGCATGGATCACAACATATGATCTGGGCAGCCCCGGCCACACTGTTAAGGACGTATCTGCTGGAGACAGGGAAGACAGGGCAGGGAATGGGTCATTCTCCACGACCTGTTTGTGATACTCCTCCTCTTAAAACACCTGCTATTTCACATGCTCAGACCATGAGCGAGGCCGGGCAGACCCGTGGTCTGACTCAGGACAGTAGTTCTTATGTTCTTCACGTTCATTTAGAAGCTATAATGATGCCAAGTCATCATATCTCTCTATGGGACGGTGATGAAATAGATGCACGCATGTTGGTGTAATAAGAAACACGATGCTCAGACTATGCTGCGACACGACTACCATGCCAAGCACACAGTGCAAGGCTGTGCGACATGACAGGTCGCTATGTGCCCACCTGTCGCTATCAGGATCCTAGCTGCCCCTTTAAGAGGTAAGTGTGCCAAGCAATGATGTCACACCATGGCGCGGTGAGGTCATGCCACGGCGCGGTGACGCAGCTGCCCGGAAGGGTATGTAATGCTGGGCAGAGCGAGCCAGTGGTGTGATCTGAGGGGGGAAACGTCACGGGGTGGACATCCAGTGGTGGGAACCGCGCCGTGACGTCACGCCCCACCAGGCGGTGACGTGTGTGGCGGGGGCGGACGCCCCGCCCTCCGGCCCTTACCTGCAGGCGCCTGTCTCGCACTTTGGCCGGCATATCTGCAACGACCTCCGGCTCAGCCACCGCTCCCGGAAGTTGATGCCGCCTCCATGGCAACGGGCCGGAAGTCCTTCACGCACGCCTCCGAGGAAGCCAATGGTACATGCCGGCCGCGTGAAGAGACTTGGTCGCGCCCGGGGGCGGAGCCTGCGCGCCGGCCGGTGACTCGCCCCGTTTGCCCCGCCCCTCATGAATGATGCAGCAGGGGGCGGGGCCTACGCGCCGGCCTGGGAATCGCTCGGCTTGCCCCGCCCCCTCATGAATGATGCAGCAGGGGGGCGCGGCGCGGCGCTGGACCCGGAAGCGGAGCGGCTGAGTCACCCCGGCGGCGCGGGGATGAGGCAGCAGCGCGGGGCGGTGGCGGGTGCGTCCCTGCCCGCCTGAGGCGCCCGCTCCCCGCCCAGCCCGCCGGCACCATGATGGAGGAGATAGACCGGTTCCAGGTGCCTGCCGTGCGCGCCGAGATGCAGCCGCTGGTGAGGGGTCTGCGGGGGGGTCTCCCCCTTCTTCCCTCTCCCCTATTCCCGGTGCTGACGGGGGGTTGCCCCGGGATACGCACCCCGCCATGATGTCATCCCTTTGTTGGAGGGGGGGATTACGTCACCGTAACGGATTAACGGACACAACGGTGCAGCTCGCGGGGGGAGGGGTTACGTCATGGGGGTAACCGTGGAGCTTGCGGGGGAGGGGGTTACGTCATTGATTAACCGTGGGGCTCGCTGGGGGATTACGTCATGGGGGTAACCGTGGGGCTCGCGGGGAGGGGGAGTATGTCATGGGAGGGGACGTCATGGGGGTAGCCGCGATTCTCGCGGGGGGAGAGGGTTCATCATGGGGGTAACTGAGGGGCTCCCGGGGGGGGATACG